TATATGAATTAAAGGAAGAAGATAGTAAAAGAGGTTTTTTTTTAAATGATCAAATGTAGAAATTGTTGCAGATAGTGGTATTAATAGCAAAAAAAGAAACTTCATTCTGGCTAGATGACATGAAACTTGACCAATCCTGTTAATCAAGGTATGAAAGAACTGTAATTTTCCATATGCAATACTTAAAGGAGTAGACTGGCAAATCAGATGTTGGAATATTGTGATATTATGCCAATAATCAAAAGACAGGAGAAACTTGGAGATTTCTAAGCAAATACATTGAAGTTCAAGAAGGAAAAAAAAGCAACATTCAGTGGAAATAAACGTCCAAATGAGAAAAGCACCACAAACAAGAAGCCAGTGATTGAAGAAGGGCTCCTTCAGCCCATGACAGCACACGAGTGCTCAACTGTGGACCTAGATACTTAAGGGCTTAATGTCTGCATTCTTACGCACTAGAACACAGGAATAACTGCACAATGGAAGTTAATGGCAAAACAGAATTCCCTTTGTAGAACTTAACTTTTCAGATTTGGTGATATGTATCCACAAAATGAGATTTCACTATTTTTATCACCAGAATAAGTAGCAGATAATTTATTTTTATGCTTACTAGAGGGAAGCAGACAGGTGCCAGGTGTTTTATATGATTACCTCATCTATCCTCAAACATCCTCATAAAATAATTAGCCATCTACTTTACAAATGAGGAAAGCAACACAGTGAACTGACTTATTCAAGATCAGATCCTCCATAACCACCAGACTCAAACGCTTTTTTCTTTAAAAAAAATACTTTTAAAAATTTATGTGTATGAGTGTATTGCCTACAGGTAGGTGCGCCTGTGTCATGCAACGCCCACAGAGGTCAGATGAGGGCATCAGATTCCCCTGGAACTAGAGTTACAGACACAGATGGTTGTCAGACACCATGCGGGTGCTGGGACACAAACCTGGGTCCTCTGCAAGAAGAGCCATTGTTCTTAACTGCTGAACCATCTCTCCACCCCCAAAAATGATTTTTTCATACATAGAAAATATATGGGTGGCATGCTCAAAATATATGTTTATATGAAGATGTTAAAAATATTTTTAAAGAATATACTTTTAGAATAATTTTTAAGGAACACCTTACAAAGGACTCAGGTGGAGGAACAGGTCTGTCTTTATCCCTATGTAAGTACAGACTTTAATCACATTGGGCCTCAGCTGCTTGATCCTTAATGAGTGTGGAGTGCCAGGGCCTTTTACTCAATGTACCACATAGAGGTCAAAGTCTAGAGGACACAAGGGGGTACTAGTGGAATGTCACAAATTCCTTGTCTCAGTTTGTCTGGGTAGTATTTCACACATGAGAGAAGTGAATGAAGAAAGCTTCAAAAATATAATTTCTGATAGTTAGAATGGAGGACTTGGGAAGCTGTACAGAAGATTGCATGAGGTTGGTGATGGCTGATGAATGGGAAACTAGATAAAGGATTATGAAAATATATATACAAAAAAAAAATCTTAATGCTGGGCGTGGTAGCGTGTGCCTTTAATCCAAGCCTGCAGGAGGCAGAGGCAGGTGGATCTCTGTGAGATCGAGGCTACCCTGTTCACATTGTGACTTCCAGGTCAGCTGTGACTAGAGAGACCCTGTTGAAAAACAACCACCACCACCAACAAAAAAATCTTAGCTATATCTATTATAATCCTTTGAGGGTTCATCCTCCCCTCCATCCAAAGGACAAAAGGAAGAGAGGTGTTCTGTATTGCACACAGGAAGGAGAAGGGGTGGGGCATGGCTGGAGACTGGGATAGGCAGAGAGCAGGAGCCTCTTAGTAACCATTAG